GATGACATTTCTTCGGATGAGTGTGAGTTGCCGCCGGTATCTGTGCTACCTTTTCTCCCTTGCCTAGAAGTACTGTAGACATGTTTGCGCTATAGATGAAAGATCCTGAAATTCGCGCAGGATGTCCATCCCGTATTCACAAAGATTATACTGTTTCCCGGAGCAACGGTTTTTTTTTTTCAAAGAAAAGTATCGTTTGGTTTATAAATTATTATGCACTAAGAAACAATTTATTTTATTTAAAACCACCAAATCTACAAATGAATTTACGGCAGGATTATTATGTAAGGTCTAATATAACTAAGAACAGAGAAGAAATTTATAAAATCATTCAAAAAAATTAGTGACAAGGGGAAAACCTTTGACACAGGGAAAGAGATATGCCTTATTTTCAAAGTATCATTCTGAACTTTTCAGTAAAAAGCTTTTATTAATTATACGCATGCAGAAGTTGCTTATTTAGTTTCACTCATATAGCCCTAGTCCCAGCATTTTGGCCTACGAAAATGGTGGTTATAGGGTTTCGGGGTTGGGAAATAGGATAGGCAGAGAAGGAAATTTTTAGAAGTGCTAAGTGAAAAAATGTAGTCGAAGTTGTTTCCCGCGGCCTCTGGGAGTAAGTTTTTCCGTACGTAATTTCAAGGTGTTCGCGCCGCGGGCTATACTAATCTAACTCCAGAACGCTAAGTTGCACCTTAGGTAAGTTGATGTATACGACCTAACCACCATTTCTATTTTTCGGGAATTTCAAGAAATCTGCAATTTGATAATCGGGTATGTCCGCAATACTTTAAACCATAATACAGATTACGAAAATCTACAGATATAACTCAACATCACTTCCAAATACAATAAAATAAAAATGTATATAGCAGTTATTAAAGTATATTTCACTGTGTATCCTAATTCCTCACCCACAAAACCCTATAAATACCCTTTTCGTAGGACGGCATGCTGGAAGTAGGGATTAATGAGGGGGACTATTTAAAGCTACTTTTGCTTATACGCATAGGGAACGGTGATGTGTATGCCCTCGATCACTTTAAAATCCTCCTCTGCCGTATTTAGTTTTTACTGCCAAAGTATGTTTTTTACCAGCGTCAAGTTAGGGAAAAAAGTAGAGCATATTGACCATTTAATGACGCAAACGAAAACGCTATGTTTCCTCATTTTCTTTGAATCATTTTATCCCACCATGCTCTGTTTTAAGATTCTAAATATAAGAACAATTGAGACACGTTTCATACTGCTGCATTGTGCCCGTTCCGTTTATAATTACGTATCAGCAGAAATTATAGCGCACAAATTTACATCTTAAAATGTGTCCGAAAGTTAGACTGGTCGCTCATTTATTGACCTTTTCGCGGTTACATCTGGAATATTTACAAATTCCCTTTTATGTTCTTCTGCTGTCTACTATAGGAGCACATAAATGAGGTCATGTTATTAGCATAGGACGTTGATTTGTGCACAACCTTTTTTCATTGATAAACTAACTTACAAATGTATTCTGCATTTCAAAGATATCCCAATCATTAATGAGTAAAAGGCACAGCGTTCGAGATGCCTCAAACCAATTTCGAGCGCTACGTTTTATTAATTATGTCACCTGCTTTATGCTCATCCCCGTTCCCCCATGTAGCTTCTGCGTTGGCCGCGCTTAAGGGAGTACTGGTTGGAGCCCTACGCGAACCCTTCCGTGTGCATTCCGGGGGTCACCTACCGTCCCTGGAGGCCAGCCTGGATACCGGTACGCGGGAGGCTCTCGTCACCTGCCTGTCTACACTTCAGTCCTATGAGAGTGAGGCCGCTCTCGTCCTGAATGATAGTATCTGTCGGACTTATTCCTGCGCACCCCTGACACAACTGTTCCAATCCTGTTTTTCCACCGGTGCCGACGCGGGCCCCCTACACACTGCTCAATTCTCCCAACTTGTCTACATTGCGCAGCGAAATCAACTGCCGCGGTTAGACCTTTTTGCATATTGTTTCTTTTTCTATTTCAATGCCTTTTTTGCCTGAAGTATGACATTGGTACGTAGCTTCGGACAAAAACGAAGGGCAGTTTTCCTGCCTTTTTTGGAAATTCACACCGACTGTCTCCACCACTTTCCAACGCGAGGAGCTCACACAGTCTTTGCTTCCGTCCTGAGTTTTCAGTTTCGTCTTTTTCCAACCGCATTTCAGTGCATTACGAAGCATCATATTAGTGTGCTGACCACTCCACTTCATCGAATCTTCAAGTTGGTGCCTTGAGTGCTCGGGGTTTGTTTATTATGCATTCTGTCTGTTAGGAAGGAAATTCGCGTTCCTCTTGCCTAGTAGCATAGGCAGCCTATGACAGGTACTGTAGGCAGCCTACAACGTTTACCGTCATAACGGACGTCTTACTGATCCTTTGGTGCTGCAATTAGTTCAGTATAGTTCAGTATATTTAGGGTAGTATTCAATGCCTTTGAAGACCCTATTGAAAACAGTATGCATGAAATATCCAACATAAAATATGTTTCTATAAAAGAGTGCGTAACAATTTCAGCAGTAACAATTTCAGTAACAATTTCA